AGTTTGTTGGGGTGACACTGATTAACAAAGTTCTACAGGTTTCACATGCATAATTCTACAACACATCATCTATATATCGTATTGTGTGTTCAAGTCAAGGCTCCATCCATCACTATTTATCCCCCGTTTACTCTCCTCCAGTTCCCCCCGCCTGAGGCACTTTTTTTCAGTGTGTATTTTTGACTTTCTGGTACGCCCTGGGGCAATTCCCTGTCTCCTATTTCAGTTTTTCTTATTATTTTTTAAATATATTTTTATTTATTTTTAGAGAAAGAGGTAGGGAGAGGGAGAGAAAGAAAGAAACATTAATAATGAGATAGAATCATCAGTTGGCTGCCTCCTGCATGCTCTGTACTGGGAATCAAGCCCACAACCTGGGCATGTGCCCCGACCGGGAATTGAACTGGTGACTTCTTGATTCATGGGTCAACGCTCAACCACTAAGCCATACCAGCTGGGCAGTTTTTCTTATTTTTAAATTAGTATGTTGTATGGTAAAGGAAATCACGTTATTAGTCTTATTGCCTTTCGATATCTTTTCAATATTTAAAAGTTGGCAGATAGCAGACATAACATGGTATGACTGGTAACTTTCCATTTTGGGGGCAGCTTCATTATGAAAGAACCCATCAGCACACTAATAAACATATGTCATTAAAGGTCCTGTGAACTTATTTTATGTGAATAACAAATATAGGACTGCTCTGTGCGAGAAGGCACAAATAAAAATACTAATAAATATTTCACGCTTGCATTTTATCTTCCTATAAAGTAAAGTTTTTAAAGAGTGGACTCAAATAAAAGGCCTTTCTGTTCTTTCTCATTCTACTAGATCCTGGAAAAAGGAAAAAAGGAATTGTTTTTATTTAAATTGGGTTGACAATGAACAAGATCACAACTCTGTTTGGAATATGAGCACACTTGTGAAATTGTCCTTGATATGGCATCAGATAGGTGGCATTTAAGGGGACTGTCTGTTTACAGTCCATGTGTGTCTCCTCATCTCCTATTCCCCGGGTCAGTGAGATGAGCTGGAGTTTGACACAGCCATGTACGTGTGAGGCCCAGGGTCATGGGTGGGCACTAGGCTTTCTAATAGAAAGATAATTTATGGTGAGTTTTAAGCTTGCAGTTTCCCTTTTTGTAGTTCTCCTCATACAGTCACATTTTGCTGTATAATCTTAAAGAGCTTTTTTCTCTTGTCTGATCATATTGTGTCTTCTGACTTGTAAGGCAGGGAGAGCGCCTCCGCATTGTTGCGTTGCCAGCCGCTTGTTCACTTACGTTAGTTAAACTGCTCTGAACTGAGCCCAGCTGAGTGTGGAATCACCATTTTTGCATCAGTGATTGTCCAAGCTTTGTCCTTTTTCCCTTCCTACTAGACTGATCCGTTGAACTCTTTCTCCTTCAGGAAGATCTTTGCAAAGGGAGCTTCATTCACACTTGTTTGATACATCAAACTTTTATTTGGTGAGGCCCTGTATTCGGCTGTGGGAATATATAGATAAATTTTAGACAGTTTTGCCTTCAAGAGTGTTGTTACTTATTGGGAATGAAGTTGTGAACCATATTTGTCCCTTAAACCTTATCGCTACTGGGTTATTCATTATAGGAGATGATCCATTACCACCCTAGGACCAGAAAGGAAACCAGAAACCAATCAGTATATTTAAAGGGGGAATTTATTTCAGGAACTTGGTACAAAGTGTTGGAAAAGGGTGCAGTGGCCTTACCTAGAGGTGGTAACCAGAGAAAGCTATTATTCCTCCTATGGCTGGAGGAGCAAAGCAAATGCCATTTTGTGGAACCCATTTGTGTGGGCTACTATGGCTGCCGCTGTCGGTCACAATGCTGCATGTGAGCCAGTCCTAGGACTTGCTCCTTGCTACTGAATGAAACTGCTGCCAACCTTCTGCTGGAGCCCCAGAGACTGCCAGTGCAGAGGCCTTCCCCAGGGTGGTGCCCTATTTGTAAGCCAGGATGGGTGGTGAGGGAGTCTGGAAAGGCAGGAGTGGACATGAGTCCCAACGCATCAGGTCAAGTACCATCAGAGCACTGTTTGAGGCTAATTAGTCTTCCTCCCTCTGTTTTCTTTTTTCTCTTTCTCAAAATCATGTTATGGAAGCTTCTGTAGACTTAGATTTGATCTCATTGTCGGTCATTACCTGTATGAGTGAGGTACCTACTTTTTCTGGGCCCATCTACCTGCTGCGAGTGTAGATTTTGTTATTGATCTCACTGAGATTTTGGAATTAAAGAATGATGCCAGTCTCCAATGGCATATAGAAAAAGGACATGGCATGATATTAGCAAGAAATATATAAAGAAATAATACTACCTATTAGATAAATAAGTGGTTTTCCTTTCATAGAAAGCACAAAAGCCATTTACCCCAGAATTTATATTAAATATACAATACTGCCGATGTGACATTTTTTTTTATCAGAAATGTGGCCTTGGAATGATATTTCTTTATTCAGATTAATGGTTTCAAGGGGCAGCTGTAACCCTTATGTCTGCTCTGATTTCCTGCTAGAATGGTCTTCAGCAGAGAAGCCATCAGGAGACTTCTTGCCAGTAAGTGTCGTTGCTACAGCAATGATGCTCCTGATGACATGGTCCTGGGGATGTGTTTCGGCAGCCTGGGAATCCCTGTGACACACAGCCCTCTCTTCCACCAGGTGAGGAAATGTTTTTTATTTCTACCTCAGAAGGATTTCTTCTCACTGAAAGATTCTCCTCCTTGCCTTTCACATATTTTTCTGGAAACAGTCTTAAGAACCACATGGACAGGCTCTATAGGCATTCTTATTGACCACTTTGTCCAGGGGTTGATGCTGTACCATGGGCAGCAGGAAGATGGAAGGCAGAACAATCTAGAAAATGAAATGGAATTTGACCAGGACCCTTGGCTGTAACAACAGGGAAAATTTGTTCTCTTTCCCCTTTATGTTATTTTTATTTTTTTGAGTTAAAGAGTTGATGGCATTTAAGAATTATTAGAAATATACAGGATTGACCAAATATTGTCTTGCAGGCCATCAAATGTATGTAATTTTATACTGTCCTCCATTTTTATGCTGTCCATTGGCTACCTTTTTATTGGGTTTACCCCCTTTGGTTGCTATTAAACTGAGTGGCTAAACTTTATAAATCTCAATAAGCATATATTCTGGGGGTCATAGAAGAGACAAGATGATGTTTACCAGGGGTGGTTGGTGCTAGTAGCTTCACCATACTGCAGTTTGGGGTTGGAGAAGGCAATTTTTCTGCATTATTTTTAGTAAGCTTTTTAAGAATTATGTCAGTGGATGTTCTGATATTGTAAGACTAATAGCAGATATACTTTCTCTAAAAATAAGCATAGCCCACAGCCATTCAGTGCTCTTCTTCAGTGCAAAGCTTCTTGAAATTTGAAATGTAGAAATGCATGTGTATCTTCAGTGCTCTCCTTATATTGAAAACTTGGTCTTTATGATTTAGTAGCCAGCAGCAGATGCTATCATAGCAATATAGAAAATTGAGCGTGACAGAAATAGCATTATAAAAAGTAATGTGAGCAAGGTAAAGAAGGTGTTTGCATCAAAAAGGCAGACTCCATTTCCACATTTTTGTGAACCACAAGGAAGGATAAAAAAATAGACCTTAAATAATAAGAAATGCATGAGAAACCTCCTTCATAGTACCAGTAAGAAGATACTTATCCATCTTTTATAACTTTGAATGGTCTTACCCATTTCAGTCTATGTCTTGTGTTATATTGACTTAGAAAAGCAAATTATTCTCTCTGGCTTTCTCTCTTGCTCTATCTCATGTTTCTATCATAGAAAAGGAAGGGTGATTAAAACTTTTGGTGTGTAAGGGAAATATATTATCTTTGTTAATATGTCTTGGATTTTTATGACAACCTTTTTTACTTAGGGAAAGAATACATGAGTAAATAACATGATAAGGAGAAAAGAAAGATGGAAATTTTCCTTGAGTGAAAGTTCTTTGAAGATAATTTTTAAAAATTGTTGTTCCCTACATCGTAAAACTCTTGATTTCTGTAGTCCACATAATAAATTTTAAGCCTTTCCAAAATCATAAAATGTACTTAAACCCTGACCTCCCAACAGGTACTGTGATACCTTTTTGTTCTTAAGCTCTTTTAGAGAATTTGCTGTGTTTTGAATTTACTTTCCTTTTGTAAGGTGTGAACACTGATCCAAAAACTATATTTGTTCATATTGAAAAATGGATATGAGGCAAAAAGAGAAAAGCTAGGATTCCTGATGAGTTAGAGATGCAGTGGGCATTTGGAAGCAGTCCCAGATGCAAAGTTGCCTGGGCCACTCTCCTCTTTTTAGCCAGGGAAGGTTATGGTAAAATTATAGGTTTAGAAGGGAGCTTTAAGAAATGTGTAGCCTAGTAATCCCTTTGTTACAAAGAAAGTTCCCAGAGCATATGGTTTTCTGTTCTTCCAAAATGATATGCTACTGATGGGTATAGCAACATGCAATGGCCAGTGAACCGTCTGCATAAAATTGTCAGAAAAACCATTTCCAGATTCTGAAAATCAACCAGAAGCATTTACTGCTGAAAAACTGCTATAGTTTTGGGTAAGAACAACAGTGTCTGAGGTCTTCTGAGCCCTTTCTGCCAGAAGTCCCCCCAGTTTTACTGGTTGGGCCTGGATGGAGACAACACCAGTTTTGCTCTCAGAGTCAGTAAACTTGATTTGGGGAGGGAGAGATGAAACTAAAATTGTTAACCAAAATTGTCAAGTTTGATAGGAAACAAACAAGAAAAATGTGCACCTCTTACTGGCCTGAATTTGCAATCTAGGATACAGTGAAAGATGTACTAGTCAAAAATGTAACAATACCCAATACCCTGGAAATGAGAGAGCAAGAGTATGAATAGGAAAGCTCTACACAATTCTTGGCCTGCTAAGGAACTATGTGTACACACATAGGACCGTGGATGAGCCTAGTAGAAAGTAAAAGCCAAAACATGTTTGGAAACCCACTGAAGCTTTGAATGTACTTTCCAACCCACACATTGGTAAGAACCTGATGGACTCAAGGTGTTTGAGTACAATCCCTGCCAATATCTTAAATTGACTACCAAGCTATTCAAGCACAAGGATAACTTCTAGCAAGCCACATAAAAATAAGAACTAAACTTGAATGGAGATACCAGCAGCCACACACTGCAGGAAAAAAGATTCCACAGTGTAAGTCCAGGCAAGCTACTTAAAAAAAAAAAGTAGTAATGGTAAACAGATTTATGAGTTGCTCTACTACATTATCTAAAATAATCAGTTTAAAAAATTATCATGAGACAAGCAAAGAGACATACTCAGGGGAAAATGTAATCAATAAACCTGACTTTGAGTGGGATCAGATGGTGGAATTGATAGACAAAGACTTCAAAGGAGTTAATAACACTGTAGGCACATAATTAAAGGAAACAGTGTTCATATAATTAAAGGCAAATATGACAATGACAACAAATAGCATATCTTAATAGAAAAATAGAAACTATGATAAAGAACCAAGTAAAAATTCTATAGTTGTAACACCTATTAACTAAAATGAGACATTATGTAGATGGACTTAACAGTAAATTTGAGATGGCAGAAAAAACAATTAGTGAATTTGAAGGCAAACAATAGAAGTGACTTAATCCAAAGACAAGAGAGAGAAAAGACTGAAGAAAAATGAACAGAGCCTCCTTAGAGACATGAGTAAACCATAGAATATATCCACATACATTTAATGAGAGTACTAAAAAAAAGAGGGGAGAATTGGCCAAAAAATATTTTTTTAAGAAATAAGAGTTGAAACCTACCAAATGTGATGTAAACATTAATCTATAGACCTAAGGATCTCAATAAAACTCAAGTAGGATAATTATAAAAAGAATCACAAACTGTTGAAAGACAATGAAGAGTGAAAAATCTTAAAAATATCAGAAAGCCTAATGAAAAGGGAAACAAAAAATAAGATTACTTGCTGATTTATTTTTCATTAGAAATAATAAAAGCCTAAAGGCTGAAAGAAAAAAAAAGAACTAATCAACCAATGATTCTATATCCAGTAAAACTTTCCTTCCAAAATGGAAGTGTAATAAAGACATTCCCAGATAAACAAAAAGTGAGAGAATCCTTTGCTAGTAGACATTCCCTGCAAGAAAAACTAAAGGAAATTCTTTGGGCTGAAAGGATATAATTCCATATGGTAATTGGAAGATATCAGAAGGAGTGAGTAATACTGGAAAAGGTTAACATGAGGGAAAATATAAAAGACTGTGCATTTGTTTGTATGCATGTATACATATGTGTATATATATGTGCATATAAATATAATTAAGAGAAGAAAAATGTGTGTATGTGTAAATACACATTTATGGTTTGGAAGACTCAATATTGCTATGATGGAAATTTTCACTGTTTATAAATTCATTAAAAATGTTTATTAATTTCTTATATTTTTAAAATTTTCTTTATTATATTCTAAATGTGTACATGAAATATTCTACATCAGAGAGATTTTTAAATTAAATTCCTCACAGTAAATAATAAGCACACCTTGACCCTCCTCCCCCACCACCCTTTGACCTGGCTTTTTCCTCCAGGGCAATATTGATGAGAGCCGGGTCAATTGTCCTATATAAGTAGCCAGATACCCATAGGCAAGGGATAAGAAAAAATCATAAAGGTGAGGGAGGCTGCTGTCCCTTTCCCCTTTTGGTAGACAAAATATATATATCTTCAGGGACCATATTCCTTTTTAAAATGTAATTTTATCCCTAGGGTGATAGTGTTCAGGTCTTCCTGGCACCTTGGGGCTTAACCTAGGGACTAATGCAAGGATGTAACCATTGGACTTCTCCAAAAGATAAGGAAAGTTTTACTGTCATTTTGGGCCAGAGAAATTAGATAGACAAATAGCTACAAATCTGATTCTCATGGGATATGAGATGTTTCTAGTGGGCAGCTTTAAAGCTTTCCTTTTTTTTTCTTTTTTTACATGAAAACAAATTCAGGGAAATTTTCTTTCCCCACACTCCCCAAATTGATCTAAAGATTCAGTGAAATCCATATCAAAGTCATAGCAGGCTTCTTTATAAAAATTGACAATCTGATTCTCAAATGTATATGGAAATATAAAACATTTTAAAAAGGAGATGAAAATTGGAGGATTTATACTTACAGGTTTCAAAACTTATAAATCTACAATAATCAAGACAATATGAGGTTATTATAAAGATAAACAATGGAACTGGATAGAGATTCTAGAAATAAACCCTCCCGTTTATGGTAAAGGTGCTAAGGCAACCAGTGGGGAATGGAACAAATGGTGCTAGAACAATTATATATATCCACGTAGAACCTTACCTCACACCATACACACAAATTAACTCAAAATGGATCATAGTACAAAATATCAGAGCTAAAGCTATACACTTCTGGAATAAAACATAGGGATAATTATTTGTGACCTTTCTTGAGGCAGATTTCTTATGGCGTTAGAAGCATGATCCATATAAAGAAAAACTCACAAATTGAACTTCATACAATTTTTTAAAACTTTGCTCTTCAACGGATATCATTAAGAAAAAAAAATCCAAGTCATAGAATTGGAGAAATACTTGCAGCTCGTTTATCTGAAAGAGGACCTGTGCCCAGAATATGAAACAATCTTTTACAACTCAATAAGAAAACAAACCATGCAGTTTAAAATGGGCAAACGTTTGAATAGACATTTCACTAAAGAAGATATATGAATGGCTATTAAGTGCATGTAAAGATGCTCAATGTTATCAGTCTTTAGAGAGAAATATAAACTAAAGTCTGTATAAGGCACCACCATACATCTACTAAAATGGCTAAGCAGAACGACAGACCATACCAAATGTTGATGAGGATTTGGAAAACTGGATCTCTCCTCTATTTCTAGTGGGAATATAAAAGACAGTCACTTTGGAAACATTCTGGCAATTTCTTAAAAGTTAAACATACACATGGAAGGCAATTTATGACATAGTTCTCAATGGTCCCCTTCTGCTGATGTTCACACCCTTGTGTAATCCCCTCCTCTTGGGTGTGGGTCAGTAGAGTATGGCAAAGATGATGGGATGTCTCTTTTGTAGTTAGGAGATTTCCATCTTCCTTGCAAGCTCTCCCTGTGGCTTTTTTTGGTTTGCAAGGTTTGGTAAAGCAAGCTGCCCAGGGGGCAAGGAAGTGAGGCCCTCAGTCCACTGGCCCACAAGGAACTGAATACAGCCAGGCTGAGGGACCCCACCAAGTGAGCCTGGAAGGGGCTCTTTTCTCAGTTGAGCCTCAGATGAAACCACATAGCCTGGGCTGGCATCTCCTGGAGATTATGAAGCTGAGCTCCCAGCTAAGTGTGTCCAGATTCCTGACCCATGAAAGCTGTGTGATCAGAAATGTTTGTTGTTTGTGTGGTATTTCCACCCAATGCAATATTGCTCAACAGTAAGAGGAATGAACCATTGATATATGCAACTGTGCTAAATGAAGGAAGCCAGGCACAAAATCTATATCTACAATAGAGAAACATGCAAATTGGTGTCACTCCACTATGCCCACCAGCCAATCAGAGCAACTATGCAAATTAACCCAACAAAGATGGTGGTTAATTTGCATATGCAGGTGCGGAGTGAAGACTGAAGGCTCCAGCTGGAGTGAAGACTGAAGACTGAAGAGGCTTGGCTTCTCTGCTGCGGCTGGACCAAAGGCCTGGGTCCTGGGTGCCGGTGGAAAACCGGTGCCAGCAGCCAGGGGACGGAAGGCCTATTGCGCGAATCTTTGTGCAACAGGCTTCTAGTATATATATGTAAAAGCCTAAGCGACCGTCCGACCATTCTACTGGTAGCTGTGATGTGCAATGACCACCAGGGGGCAGACGCTCAACACACAGGCATGGAAACATGGAACAGACTGATGAATCTCAGAGGGGAGTGGGGAAGGAGGAGGGCAGGAAGAGATTAACCAAAGATCTTATATGCATACTAAAGGCCCAGCGCACGGTGCACCAGTGGGGTCCTTCAGCCTAGCCTGCGGGGATTGGACTGAAGCCGGCAGTCCAACATCCCCCGAGGGGTCCCGAATTGCGAGAGGGTGCAGGCCAGGCTGAGGGACCCCACTGGTGCACGGATCTGTGCACCGGGCCTCTAGTTCATACTATATGATTCCACTGATAAGAAAGTTTTAGAAAAGGCAATACTATAGAGAAAAAGCAAATTAGGTTTCCTGGGTCTGCCAGTGGGGACAGGGATTGACTAAAAACACTTGCCAGGGAATTATAGTGTTCTGAAACTGGATTTGTGGTTGGCTAACTGGATATTTACCAAAAATGTTCAAACTACCATAACTGTGTGAATTGTATATATATAAAGTACACCTCAATACAGCTATAACACATGGATATATGTCTAAGGAAATACAGTTTTAATCTCCATTTGTTGTACTATTTTGTGTGCTCTAATCTTTACAGGTAAAAGGTGTTAATTTTGCCCAATTTATGTTCACGTGCTGACCCTGCCCAGTTTGGATTTCCCTTTGGCATTTTGGGCACAGAGATGTGATTTTGAGAGGCTGTTTCCTAATACACGTCTCGATGTTATAGATGCCTCTTTGGATCATTTCACTTTTCTAGTTTTCATGTTCTTTTCTGTGACCTCATTTATCAGATATGATTAGCACCTTCTAATGCTTGTTAGGCCAGCTCTTCCCTTGCATACAGGGCTGCTGAGAAGCAGTTATCACTTTAAATTATATTAATAGAGGGAAAGACAGTAGGTAGCCTCAGACTTTAGAAGTTTGTAGATCCATAAAATTACTTTCTTTTATTAACTTAGAGAAATAAATCGATTGTCAGGTTTGGGTTTTTTTTGGCAAGAAATTAATAAAGAGAAAGATGTTATGCATTTCTTTTCTTTCTGTTAGGCATATCTGTATCTCCCACCTTTCATTTCTAGATGTGAAAAACAAGCAGTGATACAGCTTTTTTTCTTTCTTTGGGTCTGTTGTGGGATTATCTGAGAATTGAATTGGGAGTAAGTTTCTCCTAGGGTTTCCTTCCTGCCAGCAAACTCTCAGACGGCCTTGCTAATAAACATCACACAATATATGAATTCCCTCAGCTAATATTCAAAACATTCCCAACTCAATTAGACCGAAATCCAGTATATTTTTGCTATCTCACTGTATTTTCCTTTTAAATTTCCTTTTTAAATTTTTAACTCTATGAGTGCTTAGAATTTTTAAAGGGAAATACAGTGGCCATACCAAATGTTGACAAGTGTGAAGGTTCTCCCTGTTCATTACTTTGAAGCCTTCCTCACAGGTATTATCGTTTGAGCACTCATATGAGCAGGATATATGTGCCACCACTGCACACAGCCTCCCAGGGAGGCTGGGGAACTAAAGCACAGGTGGTGTGCCAGGCCTGTGCACTGAGGTCCAGCTCAGGCATCCTGGTAGGACACTGGACTAGCAACTGGCACCAGCCCTTGCTCCCATTCCAACATTTGCTAGTCATACTACCCCATGGAAGTCACAACTTCTTTGAGCTCTGGTTTCCTCATCTATAAATTAGAGATGAATCACGATAATCTGATTATCTTGCAAGGTTGTTTCAAGGATTGGATGAAATAAAATTTTAATGAAGGTATTCTGGGAACCTTCACAAGACTTTAAATATTTATGAAAAATTTAAGCTAAATTTAATAAAATATTAGTCTAGAAAAGACTTGTTCTTAAAATGTATCATTTCTAGTTTTACTAAGGTCTAGACCAGTGATGGCGAACCTATGACACGCGTGTCAGAGGTGACATGTGAACTCATTTTTTTTGGTTGATTTTTCTTTTTAAATGGCATTTAAATATATAAAATAAATATCAAAAATATAAGTCTTTGTTTTACTATGGTTTCAAATATCAAAAAATTTCTATATGTGACTCGGCACCAGAGTTAAGTTAGGGTTTTTCAAAATGCTGACACGCCGAGCTCAAAAAGTTCACCATCACTGGTCTAGACTCTTAGTATTTCTAACCCAGTGAGTTATTATATAACACAGATAGGCTGTAGAAATGTATAAACAAGATGAACATTGACAGAAGATGGATGCTGTCTTTAGAGCAAACAAAACAGGATCTGGTATCAGTTTTCTTCCAAACCTTGTAAGCTACTTATTCAGTCTTGTCCATGTAGGCCAGTGGTCGGCAAACTGTGGCTCGCAAGCCACATGCGGCTCTTTGGCCCCTTGAGTGTGGCTCTTCCACAAAATACCACATGCGGGCGCGCATGTACAGTGCGATTGAAACTTCGTGGCCCATGCACAGAAGTCGGTATTTTGTGGAAGAGCCATACTCAAGGGGCCAAAGAGCCACATGTGGCTCGCGAGCCTCAGTTTGCCGACCGCTGATCTAGGCTATATCTGATTCTACTTAAATTTCATTTCTTAAGTTTAGAGAATTTTGAAATGATAATACAAATACTTTTAGGCATTAAAAAGTTTTGGGTTAAGCAGAACGGCCATTTACACTTCTGGAGCCAGATGAGATATTCAGGTAGGAGGTGAGTGGTCACTCAGCCTCACGTTCCCTCCACTAAAAGACACAGGCATTCCTAAGGAGTTGTCAGCAGGAGACAGGCAAAGGGAGCCCTGAGAATGTCCTGCCCCACCTGGTCCGAGTACCTGTAGACAGACCTGGGAAATAATTTTTTCTGCCTTTTTGAGAACCCTAATAGTAACTGAAAGTACCATGCAAAGCCTTCTATATTTATTACCTGTGGTCGAGGAATCTCCCACAGAGGCATAAAGTGATGCATTTGGGACATTAAAGTATCTGGAGACGCAAAGGCTACAAGCCTACAGTGAGAGGAAAAGTTTTAGTGGAACAGATTTTCCTTCTTGCTTTAGATTCCCATAACCAATATCAAATATTGAAGGAATACAATTGTTTCATACATTCACATGCTATCCTGGGGCAAAATTGTTCTCAATGAAGGAGCGAGCATAATTCTCCTTTCTTCCTGCAGGCCCGGCCCGTGGATTACCCTGAGGACTACCTTTCTCATCAGGTTCCCATATCCTTCCATAAACACTGGAACAGTGACCCATTGAAGGTTTATGTCACGTGGTTGGCACCCAGCAAGGAAGACAAAGCGAGACCAGAGACACGAAAAGGCTTTGAAGATGAGTTATAAAGCCTGCGGACCTAGGAGCACAAACAGAAGCCCAGACTTTAGCTTCCGCCTGTGGGCTGTCCGTGTGCTACTTGGCGTATGCCGCAGAAGCTTCCTGACTTTTGGTGGAAATCCTGTATGTGGTATTTTTTGAGGGGGGAGGAAACAGAATCATAAAGTAAACTTTTTTTTCCTGGAAAAATCACTTGCTTTTGCATTCTGCATTGTTGTACTACACAATGATTCCAGTGGTTTTCAAGCTGTGACACAGCAGCTTTATTACTATCACAGGAAAATAAATAGCACCAGAAGTCTCCTTTCTGTTCCTTCTCTTCATTTTAATGAAGGTTTCAGTGGGCATGAGACCAGAGAGATGTGACTGTTTATCATTCTGTATGAGTGCGCGTGTGCGTGTGTGTGTCCGTGCATGCACGTGTAGAGAGAGAGACGGAGAGAGAGGGAGAGAAGGAACATTGATTGACATGGATATTACCGTAGTGTGAACTTGTAACTGTATTGTTGATGGTGAAAATTATTTGTTGGTTACCTGATAGGAATAATGCCATACTAGGGATGATTCATAAAACATCTTAAAGAGTCTAGCTATGAAATTCCCCATAGTCTGTAATCAGGGTTGTTATGTTTTATCTCTTTTTCTGTTTGTGCCTCATAAAAAAAAAGAAGTCTTCTGTGGGGACTTTTCACTTCTTTAGTGGTTCTTCTGTGTCCTGTTTCTCCCTGAAGCACTATCTTTTCTTGCTTGCTTGTAACAGGAAAGTGTGCTGGATGCTGCCAGGAAATTGTGTCCTTGATATTTAAAAACAAAGTTGTCATGTTTTATTTAAGTCAGTGAGCTCTATGTAAGTCTCCGGAATTGAATTAAATTAATTTGTACCTGATGTTTTGCTCTTTTTTTTCTTTAAATGTTACTTAATGACTCTCTCTTGACTCAGAATAGGTAACTCTTCTGAGGTACCATGAAACCCTATTGGAAGGACAGCCGGTTGATTTGCCAATTTTCCTGAGTTCTTAAAGAATAACATTTGAACATAATATTGTGAAACAGCTCTAATTCTCAAATTATATCTTTAATATATAGTAATTTAACACATTTACTATTAATTTGTAAAAAGTATTCTGTCATATGATGTTTTAATTACATAATTCCATTTTCTAAAGATATTTGCAGAAAATTTGACTTTGATACGTCTTAAACTAATTTTTGTATAGCAAAATACTTCTTTTCTTTTTTTAAAATAAAAACTGCTATTTGTTAATTTTGCTTATAAAGCTTGTATAGCCAAGCAGAGGTTTTAAAGCCATACCACCAAAAGTCCCCATGTGTATGTGCTTTTTAACAATATATTTCTCTCGTAGCTTAGATTTCACTCATTTCCAAAATGATACCAGAGTATTTACCATTTTCCAAATCAGCAAATAACTACCTGTGTGTTTTCAGTGTCACCTGAATGCATTACATTTATGTTTTCTTAAAGTGGATTTTGTGGTCTGTCGAAGAAATGGATCAGGAACAGATGATCTGCTGGGTAGAAGCACCCAAGGAATTTATAGATATTGTCAGCTGCTGCTGCTGACTTCAGCATCGTTGTCGTAGCTTGGTTATTGTCATTGCTACCATCATCGTCACCTTCTTGTCAGTTGTAATAATACTCCTGGAGGGCCTGGCTGCCTAGCCCAGTGGAGGACAGTCTTCAGTTCTTTCTGTGTCTGCCTACCAGTTGTCACACTTGGAAAACAGCATATTCACTTGATAGGATCAAACTGGCCTTGGAACACAAAGACATACCTTGCGCTTCCTCTGTTACAATCAGTGCCTTCTCTTGATACCAGAGAACCTCATCTGGTACCTTCAGGCCTTTTGTGAATTATGTTTACTTTTTGGAACTATGTAAGCCTAACCACAAATAAAATGTTTTTGCCTAAGGTTCTGATTTCTCAAATGCGTTTATTAGTTCAACCTAGAACGGGAGCTTAGAAGGAGTTGGGGAAGGGGATTAGAGAACTCAGAGAAAAAAGTTGCAGCTCAGTAAAGACAGTTTTCAGAGAGAAACATTAATAAAAACCTATCCCCTTAAGAGGAAACCATTAGACATTTGAAAATGTGGTGATACAGAGTCTATAAAACAATGATCTGTATTATGTAATGAATTGGAGATGCTGTTTGGGAACTGGTTGCCATATAGTTCATATCTTAGGAACTAAGTTTTTAATCTGAACTTTCCAGGGAAGATATTGTTCTATTCCTACTTCCTTTGCCTTTTTTAGTAGAAATTTACTTCCAAATGGCTATTTTTATCCTAGGGATGTCAACCTCAAGGAGTTGTATGTGGAATAACTGGAATGTTATATTTGCTTTTAAGCTATTTCTTCTGTGGCCAAAGCTAGTTATCTGACTATGCAGGATTCTTTACATCTTACAGATAAGTCAGAAGCCAGACCCAAACACAGCCTCCAGAGACAGACTATAAAACAACAGCACACTAGCCTGCAAGGACACTGCGCACGGGTCTGTAAAGATCAGTGCTCTCTGAATACCCTGATTTACTGAATATCTCTAGTGCTGCCACATCCAAGCTCTTATAATTTTTTATCTATTTTTTCTCAAAAATGTATAATAGACATTTGTAAGAATTTTCTATTGTCGTCCATTCATAATCAGACATGTAATTTCTGTGAACTAAAATGAATAGATTCATTCAGCCACTGTTTAATATTCAACACCCATTATGTGCCAGATATTCCGGGATGGCCCTTGTCTGTGCTGTTCACCACTTTTCCCTGGAATCTGTGAATGCCTGGCACATGCTGGAGACTACTGTTTTATGTTCCCAAGCATTCTGCAAACATGTCAGCTGCAAAATGTGTTTTCCTCCTACCTAGAAAGTGAAGGCTTTGTTTCTGATCTTTCATCAGATGTTTTCACTTTAAAGCAGTGGTTCTCAACCTTCTGGCCCTTTAAATACAGTTCCTCATGTTGTGACCCAACCATAAAATTATTTTCGTTGCTACTTCATAACTGTAATGTTGCTACTGTTATGAATCGTAATGTAAATATCTGATATGCAGGATGGTCTTAGGCAAACCCCTGTGAAAGGGTCGTTCGACCGCCAAAGGGGTTGCGACCAAAAGGCGCTCATTCCTGGAGGAGTAGGGGTAAGTGTAAGGAGAAGGGACAAAAACCAGTAAACAAATTAATGGACAAGATGATTTCTAATAGCGATAAACGAAGACACTAAGAACAGGGTCCTGTGATAGACTTGGGTGTGGGTTGGGGATTACTTCTGATGGACTGGTCAGAGAGGGCCTCTGAGAAGGTGATGATGGAATGAAGGTCCAACCGAATAGAAAGATTCAAGAATGCAAAGGTTACGGAGGAGAGAAAATGGCGGCCGAATAGGCAGGCTTGTCATGCACCTCGGCCCAGGGCCATACTGGAAATGCAACTAAATTGGAGAACATTCTCCTGGAATTACAAACTGAGGTCCAGCTGAGGAGAAGACGTATCAAGGAAGGACAGAAAGCACCTGGAGACATGTAGGAAGGGTGAGGCACGAGAGGAGAGGACCCAGTTCTCAGAGGTGGCAGGCCAGCGGGCCAAGAGAGGGGGGAGCACTGGGCTATGAGAGGGTCTGTTCTCTCAGAAGACAGAGCCCAGGCTGGGCTCCACAGCCCAAAGCACCGGAGTTGTGACCCTGGCCCACTTAACATCCAGCGGCAAACAGTGGCAGGACTGCTGGCTGAGGCAGAGTCTGGAGCCAGCAGACTGACGGTGATCTGAGAGAAAAGCCGCAGTTTTGTCTTTTTGTTTGTTTTTTCTCTAAACCCAGAGCACAGGAGTTTTCATTTGCAACTACTCACCCAAGGGTTTGGTGCAGGGAGGGAGGCATGGACTTTAGGTGTCTGAAGAGAGGCTGGGGTGGGAGACAGGGCAGGTAGATGTGGAAGAGCAGTAGCCAGGAGCCCTGCATTTGGTAGTTAATACGAGTCCAAACCTAACCAGCCATTTTTCCTGAGGAGCTCGCCCCTCCCAGAAGCCTCAGGAGACCTGCATGCCACACCCTGTATTTTGAACTTTTCAGAGGAAACAGGCATAAGCCAAGCTTACAGGTCAGAAGAGTTTAGCGGAGCCCTCTGTGACTGGATTGGAGAAGGGGTTGTCCGCTCCACTATTGTGGGAACCAGACTGATAAAAACTCCAGATTCCCAGCCTACCCCATTGGTCTCTATACAAGGATCTTTGTCCAGCCAAGGGCAGAGTAAGATTTTAGGTCACTCGTGGAAGAGGAGCTCTGGGACAGGAAAACACACCATATTCCCTGAAAACTAAACAGCACCACCTCCGCTTAAAGCCCTTTCAGAAACAGACTTTTGAGCGATTAAGATTGACAGCTGGCCAGCAGGCAAAGGCAGGCAGAGATAGAGCCCCAGGAAATAGGGAGAAGTTAGCCGACCCAGCCCTGAGCCCTGTGCTGCTAACAAACCTCCTTTAGAGGGCGGATTGGCCCCTCCTGCGGGTCACTAGGAACATTAAGCAGGTTGCTGAAAGCCAAGACAGAGCCTGACAGGGTTAGTTTTTAAGTACCTAACAGGAAGCCCAGAACTGGCAGACAGAACGGAAGAGTGGGATCCAAAGCGAGCTCCCATGAGGCAATGAACTCGGCTGAAATAAACACCACTTCATTTTTTTTTCTTTTATCATTTTTGCTCTCCTTTTTCTTCTCGTTTCTCTTTTTTATTTTTTAAATATATTTTATTGACTTTTTACAGAGAGGAAGGGAGAGGGACAGAGAGCTAGAAACATCGATGAGAGAGAAACATCGACCAGCTGCCTCCTGCACATCCCCACTGGGGATGTGCCCGCAACCAACGTACATGCCCTTGACCGGAATCAAACCCGGGACCCTTCAGTCCGCAGGCCGACGCTCTATCCACTGAGCCAAACCGGCTTCGGCTCGTTTCTCTTTATTAGTTTTTGTCTTTCCTTTTTTTCCCTTTTAAATTTATCTTACTTGTCTATTTCTTTATTGGTTTGTTACTATTCTAGTACCTGCTGTTTCATTCATATATCTACTTTTCCCTTCTACTCAATTTTTCTTTCTTTCTTTTTTTTTTACTGCTTAATTTTTTTCTCTCTGTTCTTTCTCTTTTCTTTTTCTCCTGCCTTCTTATCATTTTTTTTTCTTATTTTAGGTCTATCTGCTTTCTCCTCTATTTTCCTTTTCAAATTTTTTCTTGTCTTCATTTCTTTTCTCCCTCCTTTATTCTAAAGTGTTAACCTTCCCCATTCCTCTAGTTCTCATTTTCCTTATTTAAGCTCTGCATCTTCATAGTCTGCTCCTCCTTTTCTTGTTGGTGCATTTTTGTTTGGTTGGTTTATTTTTCCTCCATATTTTTTCTTTCTTTTTTTCTATCATTCTTGATCTCTTTCCTATTTCCTAATTTTTTCTTCTTTGGTGGTTGCTTTTGTTGGTGCTGTAGGGATCTTGTATACGTTCCTGTTTTGTTTCCTCCATACTGTATTTTGTCTTGTATTTTGTTCTGTTTGGCCAGCACCTCCACAACAGTTTCAATGATGTGGTCGAGGGTGGACCACATAGCTACTCTGAGAGGACACTCCATCCACAAATGAGACAATAACAATCAAGACCCAACTACAACAGGAGAACCCAAATAGCTCAAGTTAGGGGCTTTCCTAGAGCATCCAGCTCAGGAGATCTAAGATACTATACCACAGGGTCCCCAAAACACCTACTGTATACAACCATCCCACAAAGACTAGGTGGCATAATAGTTTGATCTAATACATGGAAACAAGTACAAAGGGATAGCAAAAATGGGGAGACAACCCAAAATGAAAGAAAAGTTGAAATTACCAGAAAAGGAACTAAGTGAAATGGAGACAAGTAATTTGTCAGATAAAGAATTCAAAGTAATGGTTATAAGGATGCTTAAACATCTGGCTGAGAATTACAAGCAACTCAATCAGAATTACAAGGAGCTGAATGAGAAATACACCAACATGTATAAGAATCATGAGGAAATGAAGAATGACATAGCTACAATAGAGAACACCCTGGAAGTTTTCAACAGTAGACTAGAAGCTGAGGACTGAATCAGCAAGTTAGAAGACATGGTAGAAAAAAACATCCAATCAGAGCAGCAATGGGGGAAAAAATTAAAAAACAGGAGGAGAGTTTAAGGAAGCTTTAGGGCAACATGAAACAAAACATTCACATAACAGGGGTGCCAGAAGGAGAGAAAGCTGATCAAGGAATAGAAAACTTATTTGAAGAAATAATGACTGAAAACTTCTCTGGCTTTAGGAAGAAAAAGTCACACAAGTTCAGGAAGCACAGAAGTCCCAAATAAGATGAACCCAAAAAGACCTACACCAAGACACATCATAATTAAAATGACAAACATTAAAGACAAGAAAGAATCTTAAAGGATGCAAGAGAGAGACAGAAGGTTACCTACAAGGGAACTCTCATTAGACTATCAACTGATTTATCAATAGCAACATTTCAGGCCAGAAGGGAGTTGCATGAAGTATACAAAGTAATGAAAACCAAGGGACTGAATCCAAGACTACTCTATCCAGCAAGGCTGTCATTCAAAATTGAAGATAACATCAGGAGCTTTGCAGACAAAAAAAAGGCTAAAAGAGTTTAGTACCACCAAACCAGCACTGAAAGAAATGCTAAAGGGACTGGTGTGAGAAGAAGAAATAGAGAGAAAGAGATGAACACAGGCATAAAGAATAAGAGTGGTCATAAATAAGTATCTATCAATAATAACCTAAATTATAAATGCCTTAAATGCTACAATCAAAAGACATACGGGACTTGAATGGATACAAAATAATGACCCAAATATATGCTGTATACAAGAGACCCACCTGACAATGAAAGACTCATATAGACT